GCTTGCCCCCCCCGACCACAGGAGAGGCAGGCAGGTGGGGGGGGGGAAGTGCCCCCCCAATAGAACAGTGACAGAAACCCCTAAATTGAAACAGTGGGTTTTTAATCATTGCAATTAAAAACCCATTGTTTCAATTTAGCGGACTAAACCCCCTGTCACGTGTACAAGCAGCCCAGGAGGTCATTTTGAACAGCGAAGGACAAAGAGCTCAAACGCCAATAACTGGGAGGGGGGGGTTCCAAACAACCTTTGGGGGGAAAAGGACTAGGGAAAATCTTTCAGATCTTCTTTACAAAGAATGCAAAAAAAAAGGTACAAAGAAAGCAAGCATTTTGAAAGGCACTTTTTAACATTTAGAGTGGGGATGTCAAGCTTGCTCTGATGACACAGAGAAGTTTGCACCAGAAATCAAGGGTAAAATATAACTTTTGTATAGCATCTTTTTAGGCCAAAATCCTCAAAGGTTTTCCGGCATTTAAATCTAAGTAAAATCTGTACATGTCAGACACCTGAGAAGTAACTAAGGTCCCAATATTCTAAGATATATACATACCTAACTCGCATTAGAACCAATTCAGTTATAATCTGTTATTTTTAAACACCTTGAATTAAGTCTCAATAAAAAATTGTGTTCCCCTTTAAGAGCACTACTTCTGCTCCTGATAAGGGTGTCATTAATGAACTGCCACCGCTTGGCAAAGAAGTACTGTGGAAAACATGGGCACCTATACACATGATGGAGCTCTGCTTTGACGCATGCTGATTAGCATGCATCACAGCAGACGTAACAAATCAAGTCTACTGCGAGTCTGCTAGAGCATGCTAATTCATGTGCTCCAGCAGCTTCTGCATCACGTGTATTCAGTGTCCCCACATTTCAAAATGGTGGCAAGGGCGCTTTAGCTAAAGCTCGCTGAACAAGCTTTATTTAAAGTACCCCCATCACCATTTTGAAGCATGGGATGCTGAATACACGTGACACTGCGAGCACTTAAATTACAACAGCTCTCAGAGTCACTCTAATTAAAGTGATCCCGCCCCCCCGCCCCAGGAGCACATGTATAGACAACCTATATGCTCAGAGGACCACATCCATGCTAGAAAAAAGGCAACCCACCCCCCACCCCACCCCCCAACCGTTGTTTGAAATGGAATGGCAGGGC